TGTTTTAGATCCCAAACTACAAGAGAATAAGGAAAGCATAACTTTAGTTTTCCAACTTCTGGAGTAGAGAAAGTCACCCGAGAATAGTATTTTGCAAATTGTGAGTTGTGGCTCATCAGAGCATCATAAAATCAGTTCAGGCGGTTGTAACAATTTTTTTCTAGGTTACAGATAGTAAGGGTAACTATTAATGTAATGAAACTTTTGTCTTAGAGATGTATGTGTGTGGTGCGTGTGTGTGTTTGTATGCATCATTATTTGCAAAGTAAAACATTCTTTCTTCTGGGTCATGGTAAAAAAACAAAAAACAAAAAAACAAACAAACCCTCAAAAGTCACTGCACCAGAGGTTGAGTCCCAGTCTTCCATAGCAAGGTCTCAGTGAGAACTAATGGGTAGAGCCCAGTGGCTATTGAATATATAGAGTTGAATTTTAGAAGAAAATCAGAGCTAGAGATATAGATCATGCAGTTGTTGGCAAGAGGATGTCTTCTGAAGCCATAGGGGTTAAGTCACCCCAGGAGACAGTGTGGAGTGTAAAGGGAAAGGTCTGGAACAGACATTTCATCTTAGGGAAGAAATTTTCTTCTGGGGTTATGCTTGTTCTTTTTCTACTCTGGTAGTTTTCATTTACTCTCCAGAAAGAGGGGAGCCCCAGAATGCTTTGGAAAGGTGTTTCAAACACCTACTAACTATTGCTGATTTTGCAGCAGCCTGGCAGAGCTGTGGCACACACAATGCTGGATCATAAACTGGCACCTGGCATGGGGCTGGGTACCACACTGGCACTCGCGACTCGCGGGTGCAATGGAAGTGCAGAGCAGAGAGGTTCTTAGGAAAGATGGAAAGAGCTCTTCAGATTCCAAAGCTCCAGCTCATCAGCTGTAATCACAGAGAGATCTAACCTCACTAGCCAAGGATGACTCAGTAGCTTCAGGGAGCTACAGTAGTTCCTCTTATCCGTGGTTTCACTTTCCGCGGTTTCCATTACCCACAGTCAACCATGGTTTGAAAATATTAAATGGGAAGTTCTAGAAATAAACAATTCATAAGTTTTAAAGTGCAGGCTCTTTGAGTAGAGTGATGAAATCTCCAGCCATCCTGCTCCATCCCACCAGGGACGTGACTCATCCCTTTGTCCACTGTCTCCATGCTGTAGCCTCTCCCTGCCTGTTAGTCTTGGCTATCAGATCAACTGTCAGGGGCATCGCAGTGCTGGTGTTCAAACAACTCTTATTTACTTCATAATGGTCTCAAAGCACAAGAGTAATGATGCTAGCAATTCAGATATGCCAAAGAGAAGCTGTAAAGTGTTCCCTTTAGGTAAAAAAGTATGTATGTACAGGAAAAAACAGTACATATAGGGTTTAGTACTATTTGTGGTTTCAGGCATCCACTGTGGATAAGGGAGCACTACTGTAGTTATAATTTTTAAAGAGTATTCTTGTCATATAGAAAAATGTCAAGAAGAGATCAGAGCTGTACAGGAAGATATGCTTATAGCAACAAAATTGGGAGGTAAACTAAACATTCATCCATAGAAGAATGGGCAAATTGTGGTATATTTAAACAATGAAATACTAGTATATAACAGTTAAATGAAGGAGCTAAATCTACATTATCAGTCTGGATAAATCTGAAAAACTTAACAGTACATTAAAAATTCAAGTCATAAAATGTTACATAAAGTATAATATCGTTTATTGAAATTTTAACATCCATACAAAATTGTCTCCTGTATTCTTATGAGAGAACAAGCATGACATTATGGAAGTGAAGGGGATGCGTGAACATCCAGGCAGTGGTTATTCTCTGGGAGGGTGTCGGGAGATGGATGGAGAGATGAGACTTTGGTTCTATATGTATCATTTTATTTTTTTAAAAAGCAGAGGCAGATATAGCAAAATATTAATAGTTATTAAATAAGCTGGTGAGGCTTGGGGGAAATAGTATTTTCTGTTCTTTTCATAATTAACAATAAATACAATTGTATATAAATTTTGTAATGCCTAGAGCAAAAATCAGGCTTCCTCCCCTCACCCCAGATTAAGCAAATGACCTTTAAAACAATTACTAAGGGAAAACACAGATTCACATGTACATATATTTATATATAACACACATGTACATAAATGTATATACATATACAGATGTATACACACATATGTACATATAGATATGCAAACATACATAACTTTGAAACTTCAAATTAAGGCAAGCTTTTAATTTTTTTGTTGGAGAAAATACTGGCCTTAGATATTCCTTTAGTTTCTGAGCGATAGAACTTTTATATTGTGGAACTCTAACCTTTTTCTGAGATTTGACCATGTATTGAATCTATAGACCATCTGCATCCCACGTTAGAATAATGGGCCTGGGGGCTTGAAAGATGTAACCTGTGGGGTTACAGCGGGGCCGCAGAAGGGGACTAATAAAGCCTGGTGGGAAATAGTGGAGAAAGGAGTCAGGAGGTTGGGCTCAAATCCTAGCTTGGCTTGAGGGCTTGGCTTAGCTGATCTCTCAGGATCTTTCCAGAGATGACACTGACTGACTGCTCCATTCTCTTAAGGACTTTGTCCGGGTACCGGAATAATTAGTGGTATTCCAGGGATTCTGGAAGGCTCTTTTCTTTGGTAAATTCTGCCCAGTTTCCCTCAGTACTTCTTCCCTTTATAACCTGTTTATAGCAACCCTCCTGGCCTGCCGACCCCTTCGCTGAGCCATTTTTTGTGTGACTGGGAAGTTCCAAGAAAGAACTGGATAAAGGAGTTACTGGGGTGTAATGGACAACGGAGAGACTGGGTGAAGAAAAACTTACCAAATGTGGAGAAAGTCCTATGAATGTTCCCAAGGGCAGAATACATTTAGTTTACATTGACTCATTATTTTTCGTCAACAAACCTATATTCCTCCTCTATAGTTCTACAAGTATACTCTGTGTGTGCGTGTGTGTGCATATGTGCATGTGTGTGTGTATGTGCATGTGTGTGTGTGTACGTGTGTGTGTGTGTTGGCAGCTGCGGGGAAGGGAGGGTCTGTGAGCTCCAGTTGAGTTTTTACCAAAGAGGCATATGTTTCAGAAAGCCTGAGTTCCCAGCTACAAAAAATCATTTATTTTACTTGTATAGATGGTGTCTTTTGCTCTTAACATTCACAGGGGCTCGTTAACCCTCAAGGAGTAACAGAATTTAGTTTTAAATTTCCTAGGTTGTCCACTCCCTATGTTATCTATTAGTTGAGTCATTAATGATTATTCCCTTACTGTTTTGTCTTGCTACAAAGTTCCTTTTAACGCTGTGCCCCATGTCTTCAGCTCTTGGCTTTCAAAGTATTGCTTGACAAAGACTGAGACTCAGTGTGAAAGTTAGGTACCTCTGCTCAGAGGATGGTTGATGAGGAGTGAAAATGGAAACTTTCTTGAGTTAAAATATGAGATGGTAGAAAATTTGCTTAGTTTTCACATGCTTGGGTTGTAGATACCTTTTCAAGAATGCATGAGTTCTTTTAAGGCAAGATTCATTTATCCTGCAGAGTTAGGTTATAACACAAATGCTAGATTCCCCCTTATTTTCTAGCTTTGGGTCTTCAAAACCTGTCTATGTTTTTACCACATACTACTTGGCTTGCTGAGTTCAATACCTCTCCCGATGTCCTCTTCTCCCAAAGAATCAGAAAGTGTTAAAGAGAATGTTGTCTTTACTGAATATTTTATTGACCAGGGAGGAGTTGACATAACATGCTGTTCAGCAAGTGGCTTAAAATTTTCCCTTAGTCACTTTGTTCCCCCAAGTCCTTCTCATCCAAACCACCACTGCTGTATTTTAGTTCTCTTAAATCTTATCTAGTCTTTCTCTGACAAACTTTGGGATTCCTACTCCTTTCTTTTCTCTCCTCTTTTTTGAGAAAAATTCAAATTTTGCTCCATTCTTTTTGCATAGCAATTAAGGGTCCCTTTCCTTTCTGAAGCATAACCTCAGGGGCTTACACTTTAGGTCCAATGGTCCTTTCAAACAAATAAGATGTTCCTTCGAAGATGATGTAAAGGTTGATATAGCTAGAGAAATCTCCTGGCTACCCAAATCAGGAGAGGAGGTTGCCATTGTTCAGAAGTCCTTTTCACCATTTTCAGGGTCACCATTGTCTATCAGCAATGTCGTGGGGCCTTAAAAACCCTCCACAGCAGTGGTTTCCTGAGAGGTGTTGAAGCAGGGGACAGAAAGAGATCATATGGGAGATGGCAGCAGCTGTATGCCGACCAAATGACTGCCTCACATTGACCACTGCGCACTGATCTGTGTTTGCTGAATGCACAGCATTCTCTCCTGACGGGAAACAAAAACTGTCTGTCGTTGACTTATTGTCAATCTTAACTGGAGTGGAGTCAAGCCTGGTCGTATGTTTTTCCAGATACCAGAAGGCCTCTTAGATTTGGGATGGTCAGTTTGGCAGTTCTTTCTTTTACACATTGTACATCCTACAGCTCTTTTCCTTTGGCAAGTTGCCCTCAACCTTGTCCCCAAATTCTGACTCTTTCGAGGTGACATGTAGCCAGATGCTACTAGCACCAGTGGTTTTATGCTGGTACAGGGGCCTTTCCTTTGCTTGTGGGCTTCCAGAACACTGCCTGAAGTCTTAGTTCACAGGTCTGTGATGAAAGAGCTTGGTTTTCCGAGGTGAAAGAAACTTTGGAGAGATTCAAATCCAGCCCCTTTATTTTTCAAATGTGGATCCTGAGTTCCAGGGAGGGGGAAGGAATAGCTCCAGGTCATACAGTGAGTCAGTGGTGAGGCTCGGGAGGAAATCCGTCCCTTCTGATTCCCACATGGGGCTCTGGCCACCACACTACGTTGCCTTCTGTCTATAGAATATTTCACTTAGAACTCTTTTTAACCCCGGAGCAGTATCTTCCCAAGAGACAGAAGGAGAAGCATACTATTTAATACTCTGTGGTTTCGGTCTTGGTCTAAAGTTTTCTTTTTGTCCAAGTGTTTGGATGGATGAGGCACTGTATGGCTGAGAGTTGCTTTCTTCCAGAAGGCCAGGAGAAATGGTTCAGTCTGAACTACTGTATAAGAAGAGGGACAACACATTCTCGAGAGGAAAGGTGTTTGTATCCACATACTGGAATTTATCCACCTTGACTGATATGGTGGTGTTGACCTGGAGGTGCACTTCTGGTATATGTTTTTGGTCTGCCCTTCGGACTCGCACACTGTCACCAGCGTCTGCTTTTTGACATCTTTGTCAATGAGAAGCTCCAACTTAAGGTCGACAGAGTGTCCCGGGCATTTCACGAGAAACTGCAGTTGGCAAATAATGAAGTACCAACCTGGGTACTGGATCACAAGATTCTCATCCTGATACCTGACTCCATAGATAATACCGTCTTGGTTCCAAGACAACTTGGTTTTGTTTATATGCTTTGATGCTGGAAAGAGGACAAAAAAATATTATTGGGTAGATTAGAAAATTTGAAGTCTTTATTCAAGGTTCCCCATTCAAGACCCATGTCTTCTATAATATTCCAACCATCCAGAATATCTTCTGTGTTACCCCTTCTAGGTGCTGCTTCATATTCAAGGCCCAGGTACAAAATCACTCTTCTTCCTTTTCTCTAATGTTCAAAGCTGAACGGTCAGAACACATATGATGTTAGAACTCTACCTCCTATAGAATTGTTTTCCACTTAATTATTATATTATTCTGTAATTATTATAATTTTTATCTTTGCCTTTTCAGACCATAAGCTCCTGGACTATACTTCCTATAAGTTCTGGAAGATCATGTTCATCGATTCAATCAATCAATGAACATTTGATCAATGGAGGACTCCTATTTGGTAGGCATTGCACAAAGTGTCAGAAATAGGACATTCATTTTTGTTCAGTTAGTAAAGAATTTAGGCATCAAGATGTCCAGGAGAATCTTAGTCTGTTCGCTTTCGCATTAAGATACATCCTGTAACCATTCATTGCCTGAATTGTTGAACGTCTTCCTCTCTTTAGCAGGGCAGCCAAACATCACTGTGTAGACTCCTTGCATGCACATTAAGGGGCTCTTTTGAGATGGGATTTTTAGAAAAGCAGAGAATTAGAAGATCCTCTAAGCCAACATGTTCAGGTTGGAAGCCAGGTCTCTCTGAGCTCTAGTAAGTAAAAATCAGTGCTGACTGGCAAGGGTGACTTTCAGAACTGGGAATCTGATGTGTTAGTTTTAATCGCCTCTTTGCCTTCCCTTCGAACCTCATTGTAATTCAATTGAAGGGTGAGCACTAATCTAACTACAAAATTGAATTTCTAAAATGAGCAGAGTGGCTACTTAGAGAATCTTGGCCCATCTCCTCCACATTTCGTCTTTCCCAGTGTAAGTGGCTCTCATCATTTCATTTATAGGGGGCCTCTTACCTAAAGCATGCTGCAATATGCAAATCGGCCCTGTGCCAACATGTTCATTAAGCTGTCAATCTGTGGACAAGGCAATTTCGTAGTTCTCTTGTGAATAACCTGATAGAAGCAGAGATAAAGAGCCCTCTCCACTCACACGAGGAAAAGCACTGTGCACTTAGCCCACAACTTGTAGGTGATGGAATAGAGAGGCTGGGTGGGGTGGCACACAGATGCCTTCAGAGGACAAGCAGGCAACATAAAGGAGAGAATGGAGCTGTGGAAAAAAGAGCCTCATAGCTTTCGAGTAACTCTCTTCCCTTTTTACCTCTAAGCATTTCAAATCAAATTATAAAAAATAGCATGCAGGCTAGAACACATCTGCGAGTCATGTTTGGCACAGGCCTCTACTTGTGACCTCTGGCTTTGAAGTTTCAGAAGGGCCATAGGAAGTGGTCCTCGTATGGCTGGGGTCCCTGAGTTTGGTTACTGACCTTGGAGGTAGGCCCATGACTTCTTGAATGTAGCTCTTTCCAGGATACATGAGATGGCGTCTGAGCAATTTCCTAAAAATAAGTAGATCACATATTAATTGTCTTTCTCTGCTCTGTGAACTGGAGGCCAGACAGAATGAGCACATTGCCCCACGTCACTCAGCCAGGCAGTGGTAGCCAGAACAAGAATATCGATAGTAACTATAGTTGTCCTTCCTCTGAGAGTGTACTGGATGCTGATCTGTGTACTTTTACATATTTCGGCTAATCTCATTTTCAAAACAACTCTGCAAAACTGATGCCTAGACGAGGTCAATGATATGAAGTCAAGCAAATTGGTGGAAATACTGAGATTCACTCTCATGTGGATCTGCTTCCAGAGTCCAGGTTTCCTGCTTGAGGCTGTTTTGCTAGCCGGTGGAGATAAACATACCCTTGTGCTCAATTTTAAGAGGATAGAGGATCACAGAGATCTAAGCAGGGAGCTTGCTATCTGGAGCTGCCTTGGCAGGAAAAAAAAAAAAGTTTCTGTCATCATGGCATTTGAGAAATAAAAATATTTTCAATATATTCACTGGTAATGATGGCTTAGCTTCCTCTTTTTATAGAGAATGTTTTGCTTGCAAAAGAATCAAGTTATCCTTTTTCTGAATTCAACTTATTCTGGGCAAATTCCTTTTTCCTTTGGGCCTTGATTTTCCTAGCTGTAAAACTGGAAAATCTGTGACCTGACATTGACATTTTTTTGGACAACATCACCATAAATGACTGTTCATTCCATCTATCAGAAACTAGGCAGCTATAGTCCAGTTCAGTTGAAGTGACCACGCCCTGGTATGTTGGCTCACTGTATCTCTGCTTAGTCCCTGTTGGGCTCACAGTCTTCCCCACTGAGCTCTCCGTTCAGGCTTAAGACAACCTCTCCTGGCCTTCATCATAGCACCCTGGGGATTTGGAATGGCTGAAAGTTAAGGGAAGAGTTCCCTCTGCTGTCTGCACAAGTTCATTGCTAGAGGCAGAAGCAGGGGCTAGTTTATATCCTTACCTGCCCTTCCCCCTTAAAGAGGTCTGGTCCAATGTCTCTAGTGATGAGGGCTGGTAGGCCAGCTATTATTCTTCTGATCCCATCTCTCACTCATCCTCCAACCTGCGTTCTTGCCCTGCCTGTTTGAGCCCACAGTTCACATTCTTTGGGTGTGTAGAATCAGAACCACAACACTGAGGGGCTGCTTACTCTCTAATGTACTGTGACTACTGTTGAGAGTCGCTCTGGCCCAGCCTCCTTTTTGTTGGGTGTGGAAAATCAAGCCAGGAGGAATCACAGAGGGGCATGTCTATCTGCATCTCTTCTCTGCTAGAAATCCCTTTCTGACTCTACTATGTCTGGTGGATCAAGGCTAAGCTCCTTCCTTTGTGTTCTCATCCCTCACCTTCCCTCTTTGCCTGGCACACTCTGTCCCAGTAATAATAATAGTAGTAATAGTAGTGGTAGTAATAACAATAATAGCTAATACATATTGAGTGATGACTATTTTCTAGGTACTCTGCTAAACATGTTATATGTATTATTTCACTTAATTCTCACAACCACCCCACAATAAAAGTACTATAATGATTTCTATCTTGTACATAAGGAAACCGAGGCTTTGAGGGGTCAAATGACTTGTTCGTATTTGCACAGCTAGTCATTAGTGGAGTAGAAATTCAAACCCAGGCTGTCTGACTCTAACGCCTGAGTGAATTGCTTATCACTGTCCAGCAGTTTGGGGGCTTCTGGTGCCCCCAAACACATGGCGTTGCCATTCCACTGAGAACCCACCCTTCGCTAGGCAAGTGATGGCTTGTTTAAAGCACAGCCTGGCAGTCATCTACTCCAGGAAACCTCTGACCTTTCCCTCTCTGCCTACTTGCCTTCATTAGACTGTGAACCTCCAGGAAAGAGACTACTGTTTATATATCTCCACTGCCCAACCCAGAAAATGCTCTGCAAGTGTTTGTTGCATTGACTCATCTGGTCTGTATCTCTTTCTTCTTTCAGTGGATGTGCGAGGTGAGGGGATGCTTGGCTTGCCTTTCCCCTGAGGGTTGGGATAACACCTGGCCTAATTCTCCCATTGGTTCTGCAGGTTAGGTTAGATTAAACAGGAAGATAAGACTTGCGCCCTACATTGAGGCCAGCGTGTCACACCCAGGACAGGCTCTGCTTGTTGGCTAGAGGCTCCCTCATACCATGCCACTTGTGGTGGCGTTTATCAGGTGAGCTTCTGTAAACTGTTGACTGTAAAAGTACAAGCTTGGGCTTGCCTCTCACACATGCAGCTTCTTTTTTTCTTTCCCCTTTAATCTTTGCATGTTTGGTGGGTTGACCTCAGCTGTAATTCTGAGAAACTCAAGGATGGAAAAGAAAAACAACTTATTTTGAAGCATTTGCATTTCCTGAAGTCAAATGGCATGGTGTATTTTAACTTTTCTTAAAGAATCTTTTAGATGATTTCAAGTGAAAGGAAAAATACAAGCAACCTTCTTTAAGAATGGCATTGCTAGAGCTGGCTAAGGGAAGGGAGTTGGTACCCAGAACACCAGAGGAATTGTAGATAGAATAAGGTGGTTGAACCTGGAGAGGAGCCCAGAGGAGGCCTTTACCATCTAACAAGGCCGTCGGCAGGAAGACAGTGCAGCCTGCTCTGCAGGGCCCAAACACCAAGGCTCCAAATGCATGTTTAAGGAGATGACACACTCAGCTAATGACTAACACTCCTCTCATCTGCATTTCTCAGATGAGCCAATGGGAAGACCTTCATTAAGAACACTCAAATCGCACCAGAAGTCACAGTGCTGGCAGCTCAAATATTTGACCAGTTAGTGCTGTTCAAAGAAGTGTTAAACTGCTATGAGGGTTGTGAGGCTTTTGTCAAGAAAGTTTCATGTGGCTTGAGTCTCCTCATTACCCTGTGAGTCCGTGATATGGCTTTCTTTTTGGATACGAGCTCAGGAAAAAGTGTCTTATAAATAGAAGGTGCTACATGCAGCTGGAATCCTATAATGTCCCTGGAATTTTGAATGCTGGGAGCATAGGGAACAACACACACCCCTGTTTCATTCATTTCTCAGCTGCAGGTAAAGGCTGGGAAGGTTTAGTTTGAAGAACTGAATTCTTGGCTGGGGGAAATGAGAACATCTGCAAGTCATGGCTGAGTTGATGGCCTGGGAGTTACAGTCTAGGAATTTCGCCTCTCTGGGCTCTAGTGTCTCTAATTAGATGGAGAGAGTGTGGATTTGATGATCTAGAAGGGCCCTTCTAGCTTACTCTAGCTGGTGTGTAGACTCCGCTGTAGACTGCCAGGCCTACTTCCGGGGGTGTGGGGGGTGATAAAGTCAGTCCCAGCTCCTACTGTCTGTCTTTGCAAGCATGTCACTGTAACCTAGCTAGGAAACTGTCTTCGCATATTTAGATTTCCAGACTCCTGCTGTGCTAGAACTCTAGGGATAATCAAAGTTATGAAGAGCCTGGTTCCAGAAGGATTTGCATGGTTCATAGAAATAGAAGTTCCCTGAGAAGTTGCCTGGACCAGGCTTGGTAACCACGTAACACATACGCTACCTAATGTTACCCCTGTTGCAGACTTGTCCTAGGCCACCCCATGAGTTAGTGGCAGTGGCAGGATCAGAGCCAAGGACTCCCTACTCCTTCTGTGGATGCATTTCATCTTTTGGGCAACTCATGTACTCTATGAATTCTTTTGAGAACCAAGGTCTTTAGGTGGGGAAGATTTGTAAGCTATTTTTTTAAGCTTTGGACTCCTCTGGAAGAATCATGAACTTTCTTGGGCTTTTTTCTTTCTTTCTTTCTTTTTTTTTGAGGCTGGAGAGAAATAAGTGCCAATCACATCCTCTAGGCCAGTTGCACAAAAGAGAGGTGTTGCTTAAGGTGGTTGAAAGGATCGTGTTCTAGGAGTCAGAATAATGGCAACCCCAAAACTGGACCCCACCTTGAGATCTCAAGATGTTAGACCTGAAAGGGCCATTATATGCCAAGTTAACCAAGACCCTAGTTTTATGAGTAGGGAGATTAAACCCAAAGGGACTGAAGGTTTGGCCCAAGACCCCATAGTAGGATAGTGGCAGAGCTGGGTTTAGACCACAGGGCTCCTGACTCCTAGTCCAAGACTCTGTCCCCTGTTTTTATTTTTGTTTTGTTTTCCTTTTTTTTTTTTTGGTCTTCCCATGGAGCAGAGAGCGTTAGTGGGTTTGTAGCCCCCTTACACACGGGACCGAAAACTGTTGAAACAGCTGGAGGTGCTAGGAAACCAAGCACTACTGAGCCTTCTGGGCTCCCTCTTGTGGGAGAATGACAGCAGGTGCCTTCAGGCCTGTGTGCTGAATCCTGCCAGGTCATAAGTCAGAGGCAGTCAGGCTTTCATTAAGATACAACAATGCTCGAGGTGGCCAAAGAAACCACACCAGCCATTGCAGCCAGAGGGTGTGTGGTCTGAGTGCCAGGCACCTTCCAGGTTAATATCAGGATAAGACAGACACAATGCATCTCAAAACAAGCGCCTGGGTTATGGATAATGCCTCTCGCTTCAGATCTGTTACTTCCCCTTACTGACCTTCAATTACTGCATCCATAAAGTGGGGATAACAATCAGCCTAAATATATGGATGTTGCAAGGTGTGATAAAATTATGGGTGTCAAGTGGCCAGTGCAGCATAGAGGAGAGGCACAGAGGAGACACCCAGCAAATGGCAGTCCCTTTCTGCCCTACTCCTCTTTTCCCAGTTGTTATAGTGGCATGACTTAGCAATGCCACTTAGCAGAATGATCTGGTTGATAAGATGCTCATTATCTGTTGGATTATCTGCTGGATTAGAGTTTCTCAATTATGTACGCAAGTGTTTGAGGCCATCTGATGCTTCTGGAAAAGTGTGCAGAACCCTCCTTCCATCTGTTGAAAATATGTTAATCCTTCCAGGAAAGAAAGGAATTATTCTAATGACCCTGCATCTACCACGTCCTGTCTTCTTAGTTCCATCCATCTGGCAGAATATCTAGGAGAGTCCCAACAGTGACA